CTTAAAAATGGTGAAAAGACAGCCCGCGCGCTGGGGAGCTGGCCTCCTTTTCCTTGCCTTGCCTTGGTATCCGCTGTGTTCGAATTATCTATTCAGGGGGGAAAAGAAAAGGGGTCCCTATAAAACCAGACAAGGCTGGGACTGAGGGAGGGGGTTCAGGGGAGACATGGAGGAGCCCCCCTCTCACCAGGGGAGCTTTGGGTGCTGGGGGGCCCCAGCCCTGCACACACACCTCCCGTGGACCCCGGGTTTGCTGTCCCCGCAGCATCCAGGCTTGTTGCAGAAGGTCCACAGGGACTGACCACGAGGACCGGCCGCGGGCACCGGCCGCAGGGCTCTGCTCCAGCTCCCCCGGTAGGAACAGGCACTTTCCTGCCCTGCCAGTGCTCGCCGACCCGCTGGGTGAAGCCCTGGATGTCTCTGGGGTCTCTGGGCATGTGATGGAGATCAGCAGCTGCTGTTACGGCAGTCGGTACCATTCCTTCCTGGGCATGCGTTTCAAACCTTGAGGATCGGCTCTTTTTTCCTGCTGGTGGGTGCCCAGCTCTTGGCACATCTGCCTTAACTGGGCTGCAATCCTGCATCCTCCGTCCCCCCAGTCCCGTTGTGCCCCCGAGATGCTGCCGAGAGCCCTTCCCACTCCTTTTGCCTTTGGGCCGCTTGTTTTCAGAGGTGGCTTTGCTTTTTCTCCCTGAAAGCTAGTCCTTGGGCTGCATCTTCTGGGCATGAAGCTGGCATCGGGCAGCAGACCTGCAGGTCAGGGACCCGTGCTGGATTTGACCCTGGAAAGCATGATGAGGCAAGGGGGGGGGTTCAAACTGGGTGGCCTAGCTTCTCCTCACCTCAAACAGATTTTGGCTCCTCTCTTAGGGTTCGGTTGCAGCTCCAACCTTGGGAATCTTTGGGTGAGATCTAGCGGTGGCACCTTCAGAGGGATTTAATGGCTCAGATCCTACTGCTGGTGGGACACTTGGGTTGACTTTCAGCTTTGGCTTGGAAAAGCCATGGCATTTCCCAGCACCGGGAAGTTTTCCTCCACCCAGGCAGCCCCCGGGTGGAAGAACAAGTCCCAGTCCCCATCATCACGCTGAGCTTGCCCTTCTTGCAGGCGGGGGGTGGAGGAAGC